CTCAGATAGGACCTGTTGCCTCTGTGGCTTTTAGTTACTCTTAGTAAAAAAGTTCTGGAACAAAGCTTGAGCACTTACTGCTAGTTTTCTGCCAGGCAGAGAAACCCACCCCAACACAAAATTTAGGCTTTGAAGAATGAGGTAGTAAGAGAGGGAAATGTAATCATATATGTCTTTCATGCAACTTTTTAATATTGAATGATACATGGTGAATTCAGTGTTTTTTACCTGCTTGATTTTTATCCATGGGCATTGCAGCTCTGGTGGCTCATGGGCAGTCCAGGCGGCTCAGCGGTTTAGCGCCGCCTGCAGCCTGGGGCATGATCCTGGGGACCTGGGATCGAGTCCCACGTCGGGCTCCCTGCATGGAGCCTGCTTCTCCCTCTGCCTGTGTCTCTGCCTCTCTCTCTCTCTCTCTCTCTCTCTCTCTCTCTCTCTCTCTCTCTCTGTGTGTGTGTGTGTATGTGTATTCTCATGAATAAATAAATAAAATCTTTAAAAAAATACAGTAAGTCTATAATGTATTTAACAAAACCCACCAAACATCATAGGGCTAGCCTACCTTAAATGTACTCAGAACACTTTTGTGTGTTTGTGTGTGTGCTCAGAACACTTACATTAGCTTACAGTTCAGCAAAATCATCTAACACAGAGCCAATTTTATAATGAAGTGTAGGATATCTAATATAATTTATTGAATATGGTACTGAAAGTGAAAAATGGAATAGTTGTATGGTACAGAAAGGTTGTCAGTGTAATGGTTTTTTGTTTTTTTTTTAAGATTTTACTTATTTATTCATGAAAGAGAGAGAGAGAGAGAGGCAGAGACACAGGCAGAGGGAGAAGCAGGCTCCATGCAGGGAGCCCGATGTGGGACTCCATCTGGGCTAAAGGCTGCGCTAAACTGCTGAACCACCGGGCTGCCCCTGTGTAATGGTTGTTAATCCTTGTTATTGGGTGGTTGGCTGGGAGCTAAGGCTGCTGCTGCCATTGCCCAGCATCAGGAAAGAATATTGTACAGTACATTGCTAGCCCAGGGAAGGATCAGAATTCAAAGTACAGTTTCTACTAAATGATGTCACTTTCTCACAATTGTAGAGTCAGAGAATTATAAGTCAAACTATCACAAGTTAGGGACATCTAATAAAATTTTAGGGAAATAGTAGGAACTATAATTTTTCCTCATAAGAGAAAAACCCGGTGATTGAAACTAAATAAAACTAAGTGTTAGTGATTAAAAAATAGCAGTGTACAAATTTAAGTACTAAATGTGAGTTCTAAACAGGAGAATTTAAAAGTATATGTGGTCAATCATCAGGGCATTAGGACAGCACCAATGAAACTCCTTTCAATTTTCTGGATATATGATGCAGTCACTTTCAAAAAGGAAATTATTTTATTTTTTAATTTTTGTTTTTTTAAACTTTTTTTTTCTTAAAGATTTTATTTGTTCATGAGAGACACACACAGAGAAAGAGGCAGAGACATAGGCAGAGGGAAAAGCAGGCTCCATGCAGGGAGGCCCATGGGGGACTCAATCCCGGGACTCCGGGATCACACCCTGGGCTGAAGGCCGGTGCTAAACTGCTGAGCCACCCAGGGATCCCAAAAAAAGGAAATTATTTTAAAGTAAAAGCATTCTAAATGTGTATGTATGTATGTTTATTGACACATATGCTGTTTATAAGAATTTGTCTTATTCTTTCTGGATTATGTTAGGAGAAATCTTGGAAGAGTTTTTAAATTTATGAATGAATGCTAGCTTTCCTGTCTTACTGTTATCAGCCACAGAACTTCTCTCCTGCTCTAAGAATCTCGGTTTTCCTTTAGTCATCATTCGGCCGAAAAGTGGGTTTTATTTGTTTTTATTAAATTTTGTGTTTGGCTGTCCAAATCTACACTGATTTCTCAGTACAGTAACTTAGAATTTATTGTTCTGTTGTATTAATTCCAGAAACTAATCCAGAAAATTTATTTAGTGTCTTTTAGGACAGAAAATGTAACGCCTCTAATATATTGATAATAGGGGCACCTGGGTGGCTTAGTTGGTTGGGCATCTGCCTTCAACTCAGGTCATGATCCCAGGGACCTGGGATTGAGCCCATTTTGGGCTCCCTGCTTGGTGGGGAGCCTGCTTCTTCCTCTCCCTGTTCTGCTCCCCCTGCTTGTGCTTGCTTTCTCTCTCTGTCAAATAAATAAATAAAATCTTTAAAGAATATATATTGATAACAAATTGATCAGCTTTTCCAATGATCAAAATCCCATATGTTTAATTTGTGCTTTTGAAGTTGTTTTAGATAGGTGAATATATGTACACACACATATTTTAATTCAAGGTATTAAAAGATTGAAATGACTTTTAAATTTAAGGCTCATCTATATATGCCACTCTTCTGTTTGCTGTTAAACTAAGTTGAAAATAGGTCTTCCCCTGGGGAGTTTAAAAAGTTAAACTACATTCTTGGAAGATAATTACTTCATTTAGTTAGACTATTTAGTAAACACAAAGAGCTGGCTGAGGAAAACAAACATTTCTAGCCTCACATATAAGAACTAGAATTACATGGGACACCTGGATGGCTCATTGGTTGAGTGTCTGCCTCTGGCCCAGGGCATGATCCCAGGGTCCCGGGATCAAGTCTTGCATTGGGCTCTCGCAGGAGCCTGCATCTCCCTCTGCCTGTGTCTCTGCTTCTCTCTCTGTGTCTCTCTTAAATAAATAAGGTTTAAAAAAAAAAAAGCTAGAATTACAATCTTTAAGCCAGAGAAAGATTAAAGGTTTTATTATGAAAAAATGGAGTTAAACTTGATTTCTGTGATCTCTTCTAAAGATGTGATTTAGTATGTGGAGTGACATGATGCAAGGGATGTAAATAGGACACAACTTTTTTTTTTAACATTTTATTTATTTATTCATGAGAGACACAGAGAGAAAGAAAGACAGAGACACAGGCAGAGGGAGAAGCAGGCTCCATGCAGGGAGCTCAACATGGGACTCAATCCCTGGTCTCCAGGATCACACTTCAGGCTGCAGGCGGCACTAAGCTGCTGCGCCACTGGGGCCACCCTAGAACACAACTTTATTTCTCTTTCTTGTGGCCCCTTTCAAATTTATTCAGTAGTGGTAATCTTTCTTGCCCGCTGGTGAAAACTCTTATAGGCCTGTGACCTGTTGCTCATTCTCAGGTAAAAGACAGTCTATTATAATCACAGTCCTATGATTATGCATGAATTCCATATTAATTCTGTGGTGAGACTTCTAGATGGATATTAGTACCCACCAGGATTTTTAGCTCTCCTCCCCTTCTTGTATTTGGCCAAGCTTTGCTATTCTGGCTGGAGAGGATATGGCCACTCTGGGCCAGTGTAATTATGAACAGGTGCATAGTTGTCCATAGTCTCTCCTGTTGGAGCAAACCCTGCAGAATCATGTTGATATGGAGATGACACAGTATCAAAGCAGCCTGGAAATATTGAGCCAGCACGTAGAGGACAGCTGCTCTGGAGAGTCATCTGGACCCATATTGGACGTTGTGTGAATGAAAAATAAACTTTTTTTGTGTGTTAAGAGACTGAGATTTTTCTGCGGTTTTTGCCCCACAATTTATCCTAACACAGACTTCTTTACTACTCCAAAGCTATGGCTTACTGCAGGTGGCTCCTCCCCTCCCTAGCTATCTGGAATGGGAGAGGAGAAGTAGTCAAGCTCTCTCTTTCCCGACTGCTTCTCTTTCCTCTACTAGCCATTGCTTCAGATTTTTGGGTTAATATGGTAGAGGAAGGATTTCTTTTGCTGAGGAAGTAACAAAATGAGAGGGTTTTTTTTAAAGGTTTATTTATTTTAGAGAGAGCGAAGGAGTGAGAGAGCGTAATTGGCGGGGGGGGGGGGGGCAGAGGGAGAGGGAGAGAGACACTCTCCAGCCGACTCCTCATTGAGCACAGAGCCTGACATAGGGCTCCATCCCAGGACCCTGAGATCATGACCTGAGCTGAAACTAAGAGTCTGACGCTTAACCTCTTTGGGGAGAGAGAGCATGTGCATAGATGTGTTGGGGGGCTAGGCAGAGGGAAAGGGAGAGAGTCTTAAGCAGACTCCACCCTGAATGAGGAGCCCTAGGAGAGGCTTGATCTCCAGCCCCTTGAGATTATGACCTGAGCCAAAAGCAAGAGTCAGATGCTTAACCAACTGTGCCACTCAGGCACCCCAAAATGAGAGTTCTTATTTGACTGGTTAGGTTTGTGCTCTCTGGGCCTGCAAGGAATTTAAAGTTGACTTTGTCTTCTTTCACTGTATCCCCATAATATGAGCAGTTAAATTTTTTTTGCCACCCCAGTCCACCTCAGCCTGATTTTATTTATTTTATTATTTTATTTATTATTCTATTTTATTTTTCTATTCTATTCTATTCTATTCTATTCTATTCATTTTTAGTGATCCACTCCATATGGGCTCTTGCCTTTGTGAAGTCCTTCCTCTCAGGTGGCTCTTATGGGCTAGACAGAAATAGGTTTCTGGCTCGTTCCCTCCTGTGTGGGAATGTTCGCTTACCCCTGGCTCTGAAAACTCTAGGAGTATAGGCAGTTACAACAAAGCTGCTTTTAAAATTTTTTAGCTTTGGGTAGCCCTGGTGGCGCAGTGGTTTAGTGCCGCCTGCAGCCCAGGGTGTGATCCTGGAGACCCGGGATCGAGTCCCACGTCAGGCTCCCTGCATGAAGCCTGCTTCTCCCTCTGCCTGTCTTTGCTTCTCTCTCTCTGTCTCTCATGAATAAATAAATAAAATATTTTTTTTTAATTTTCAGCTTTATAGAGTTCTGACAAAATTATAAAATATTTAAAGTGTACATTGTGATTGGATATACATATACACTGTGAAAGGATGCCCCCATCTAATTAATAAACCCATCACCTTACATATTTATCTTTGTATGCTTGTGAGAACACTTAAAAACATTTAAGTTCTCCTCTCGGCAAACTTCAATTATACAGTGTTCTCACCTATAAAAATGGTGGAACAACTTCATGAATTTGCATGTTGTCCTTGTACAGGGACCATGCTAATTTCCTTACTATCCCAATTTTAGTGTATGTGCTGCCGGTGGAGCATAGCAGACCCACTTCTGTCCTGCTGAATATCTTTTATAGCTTGGGTCAGGCCTCAGTCTCTGCAGAAAACACATTTCAAGTTCTCTAGGTGACCTCATGAAAGGGCCCTCTTGGTGAGAAGGTAGCGCTCCACTGTACCCATTCCCTTAGGGAAGCAGAGGGCACAGCAGCAGCTCTTCCAGTCACCCTCTTCACTCATTTCACCCTTTTGTATTCCTTAGGTGCGTAAGGACCCAGGATTCATGGAGCCAATTCTCTCCATTTTCCTTTCCTCATCTTAGTAGGATACTCACCCCTGAACTGAATTGAAACAGGAATATTCCTATTTTTTTTTAAGATTTTATTTATTTATTCATGAGAGACACACACAGAGAGAGAGAGAGGCAGAGACACGGGCAGAGGGAGAAGCAGGCTCCACGCAGAGAGCCTGACGTGGTACTCCATCCCTGGTCTCCAGGATCAGGTCCTGGGCTGAAGGTGGCGCTAAACCAGAGTCACCTGGGCTGCCCAGAAGATTCCTAATTTAATGTCTACTACATAAATTCAACATTCTATGGATTTTTAAAAGATATAAATCATTGTTATGAACCAAATTGTGACCCCATAAAGGTTTTTCTAGCTGGACTGAGAATCTATTAAAAAATCAACTGACAGATTAACAGGAGAAAATCAAATTTAATAGCATATGTATGGGTCATGTCATCCACACAGATGTGGAAATTCCACAGACAGGCAAAAGGTATACATGTCATTCTGAACTAAGGAGAAGGGAGTTGGGACCGAGGACCTGAGAGGAAAGGAACGGTTCGCAGGGCACTAAGAAGAGCAGATGTTTGCCCTGACATGCAGATGGGTCACTCAGGTAAAATTTCTCTCTCCTTATTCTGGGAAAGAACCTCAATTTAGAGTTCTTCTAAGTAGTTAAAGGATGAACAAATGTTTCTCTTGAGCCCACAGGGTCTTAATTGCCTTCAGCTCAAAATAATCTTCATGCCTGGGAGGTGCATCTTGGGGTGGCCTGACCTTGACCCCTACAGGCTTTTGAATGATAAGCAACCATTCCTGTCTAGCGAGCCTCAGCCTGTGTGTTCTGTGTCCTCCGTGACCAGTCCAGCCATTCCTGTGGACCCTGGGATCATGACAGCAGCAGAAGGCAGATGCTTACCTGACCGAGCCACCCAGGTGCCCCCATTTCTAATTTAAACACATCTCAACTACTTATGGGTTCCTTATAAACACCAACAATTATTCCTTACAAGCCGATGCTGTTTTTGAAACTTGAGTGAGTTTTCCTTCCTGGAGATAAACTTCTAACAAAAACTCCTTCCTTTCTTCTATTTTAAGATAACATCAAATGTTCTCTGGGTACTATACTGAGTAAGTGGAAAGCCCACTATTGAGTCTATATTTAGAAAAAGGAGAGGGCGGAGAACCAAGATTTAAACAACTGCTTTAGTGGCTCACTGCTATTATTGCAGGCTTTTAAAAATATCTGTGTATCCCAACTTTAATTTATATCAGTACTCAGATTTATGACCTTTTAGGACTGGGTTTTTAATTCATCATTTGTTTTGTGAAGTGTATTCCCCAAACTCCTGTGGCATTTCCTGATGATTTTTCATAAAGCAGCAATTTATATACTATCTTGTACTGTTCACTGTTGTGTGTGTTCTTTAAGGGCCTAGATTGGTATATATTTCTTTTTTAAGATTGTATTTATTTGTTTGAGAGAGAGCACGTGCACACACTTGCGCACATGGGGGTGAGGGGCAGAGGGAGAAGAAACAGGCTCCCTGCTGTGGTGGGGCTGTATCCGGAGGACCCCAGGACATGACCTAAGGCAGACATTTAACCTACTGAGCCACCCAGGCACCCCCTTTTATTGTCTCTTTTATTAGTTGCACCTAAGAGAAATAGCGACCTAAAATCAATATAACCAATGAACATTTTTCTAATGAGAGGTCCAAAAAATAGGCAGTTTCTGGTATTAATTAGGGGGTACAAGGATATCAAGACAGAGGTCTTTGAAATTCTTTTGGCATTTCTCATGGTCACAAGATGGCTGTTGCAGTTCTGGCCAACCTTCCATCTTCCAGGGAGGAGGATACTCCATTCAATAAAGCAGAATTTTCTCCTTACGTGTCTTTGGAGAGAACAGTGTCATATAGCCACCCTAACTAAGCCGAGGAATTTTTTTGGCTGAGCAAATGGCCACCCTCCAACAAAACTGAGATTCTATTAGTAGAAAAGAAAGGGAGGAATTAGGTAATAAGCAGTCTACCATGTTATAATACCATAGTCCCTATTCTTTTCCCATATCATTTGCCATTCAGTAAATTGATTTAATATTTGATAAAATAAAAACCATATATATATAATCTGGTATTACTGGTGGTCACATGGCTGGTACAAAAATAGAGTATTCCAACTGTTACAAGTCCTTGGTAATACAGCAGTAAAGAATACAGACTTGGAATAGCTTTACCCTTCTGTCCACCCCAAGTGTAAAGATTTATTTATTCACACCTGAAATACCTAGGTCTTGAATAGTTCTTGAGACATCCCCATTGCCTTCATACAATGCTAATGAGATTTAAAAGCTAGTCTCCCAATTATGTGTCACAACTACCTAAAAACTAGAGTCCTAATGATATGAAATGTTGGGATTTGGAGAGAATGGTCAAGAAAGAATTTTTGAGGCTTCTTCAGTGCAAAAAGGTGGTTTTATGAAAGCACAGGGACAAAACCCATGTGCAGAAAGAACACTGGGATTGTGAGGAGTGACTGATTATATACTTTCTTATTGGAGGGGAGTTAGGGAATAGCCAAAGTCTCTAAGGAATTTGGAAGCAAGGTTTCTAGGACTTTGAGGGGCTAGCTGTTGTTAGGAAAAATTATTTACCACTGTCCTAAAATCTTAGTCATGAGACCCTTCAAATGTATATCAGTGGGCCATATGCTTCAAGGATGATTGCTAATATATATTTTGGGGCCATAGGGGTAGAGATAAAGGAAGTTTCCATAGAGGATTTTCATATGTTAAAGTACGCTTACAGGATCCTGGAGATTGGGCTAACACCAAGCTAAGGTTGTCTTTTGCCTTTAGCAAAGTATGAACATTGAGGCAGTCAAGGTCCTGGAGGAAGATCACCCTGCCTGTCCCAAGTACTTATCAATGGGCTGTAAGTTATAAGGAAGTTTACTTTTTTTCTTTTGCCTTTGTTCTCCACATTATTAACAGTACTTCTACAATAAATGATTATAAATGTTGTAAGAGATCGCAAGGAAAGCTATGTGAAATTCAACGAAGAGTACACTGGATAATGATTGATGGCTGTGGTGCTTGAAAGGTAACAATCATGATTGATCAGTCTAAATAAAATATATTGTAAAATAAGGGGAATATATTAAACTCTTAACATTGCCAAAACTATATTCAAGGTCATCTTGAATCCCCAAATTTGCAAGTATGATGATATTTGTATCAGGCATATGACTTTGTCTTTGCAAATCAAGTGTCATGTTTCCTGTGTATTATCCTCATGCAACAAGTTTAACTACATTTTCAGCTTCAACAAGTGTGAGCTCTTATCTAGTAAGCTGTTTTCACATTAGCCAGAATTCTTCCTGAAACCGTTCTTTTTACAAAATTTTTTCCTTAAGCTTTTTGTTGTGAGTTCATTTACATAACAGATGGAGCTACTCCTGAACCAGATACTATATTACTTGTTTGGTTTTGTTTTTAATTAAGCTCGAGGCTCAACATGGGACTTGAACTCAGGACCCTGAGATCAAGAATCAAATGCTGTACCAACTGAACCAGCCAGGGGCCCAATACTATATTTTAAATGTATCCAAGGAGTCTCTTTTCTAGATAAAAACCATCATATCCTTAGACCCTTTTATGTTAAGCCCTCCAGGTGATTCCAATGAATGCTAAAGTTTGAGAACTGTAGGAGAATTCAAATTTTTGGGTAGCCTTGGTGGCTCAGTAGTTTAGCGCCACCTTCGGCCCAAGGTGTGATCCTGGAGACCCAGGATTGAGTCCCATGTCAGGCTCCCTGCATGGGGCCTGCTTCTCCCTCTGCCTGTGTCTCTGCTTCTCTCTCTCTTTCTGTCTCCCATGAATAAATAAATAAAATCTTAAAAAAAAAAAGTTTGCCCCCAGCAAAATGACAGAGTTTGCAAAATTTGTTAAAAAAAAAAAAAAAAGTCCCTCTCCCCTCCCAAAAAAATCCAATAAGGGGCAACTGGGTGGCTAACTCAGTTAAGTATCTGCCTTCAGTTCAGGTCATGATCTCAGGATCCTGGGATGGAGCCCCATGTCAGGCTCCCTGCTGGGGGGGGGGGGTGTCTGCTCCCTCTCCCTCTGACCCTTACTCTCATTCGTGTTCTCTCTCTCTTGCTCTGCTCTCTCCCTCTCTCAAATCAATAAATAGAATATTTTTTTAAAAATCGAGTCTCAAAAAAAAAAATAAAAAATCGAGTTTAATTGCTCACAAATAGTCAGAATTGGGGGCTGCCAGACACTGTGGAGAGAAAAATCCGAGTGATAAGGATATAGAAAAATGGGCATTTGTGTTTACTCTGTTGAAGGCGGTATATATATCGTTAAATAAATTATACTGCATTGATTACACTGTGGTGCATTTGTGTAATATTATGCAGCTTTAAAAACAAGAAAGTTGGTTAAGTGTCTGACTTCAGCTCATGCCATTGATATAGGAAAGACATTAAGGTTCAAAGCTGTCAGCCAAGAGAGAATTCTTGAGACATTTTTGGTACAAAAAGGTGGTTTTATTAAAGCACGGGGATAGGACCCCGTGGGCAAAAAGAGCTGCACAGGGGTCATGAGGAGTGGCCCATTAGATGCTTTCAAGTTGAAAGGGGTTAGGGGTAGCTTAAGTCTCTAAGGAATTTTGGAAGCAAGGTTCCAGGACCTTGAGGGGGCTAGCTGTTGTTGGGAAAGGTCATTTATTACTGTCTAATGAAACCTGAGTC